CAGCTTGGAAATGGCAGAGAGTGCCCGATTTCCTATGCCGCAGAAGGACTCTGGGCCAATAAAAGAGGTTGATACTCCCTTCTACGTAAGTTTTCCGACAGTCTTATTTCATTCAATACCATCATGCCTCGGAATCAGGGGCGCACCCAGGAATATATTTTGGGAGGGGTTTATACTTCTGAAATTTGCTTCAGATAATATGCTCTTTAAAATACATTTGTGCAAGCTTTATGTACAGTATGTAATAAAAAAATAAACCTTTTAAAGTTTAATAAATTGCACTTTATTACATGAAATTAACAAGGAACTGAAACATTTTAAACCGACTCCAAAAAAGAGGGAGGTTATTAATTCGTCAAAATATTTTTTATTTTTTTATGTATGCTACCGCATAACTTTGGACGACGTGAACCGATTTAAATTTCTTTTTTTTTCGGAAAGATGGTACCTCATGGGTCGTCCTGTAATTTCGTTTAGATCCGATCATTGGATCATGAAAAAATTAACGGTATTCCTAAATTTATATATGAGAATTGAAGTTGGTTGTGTTTTTTGCTTAAAAATTACTTGTTTAATAAAAAGTTCTATAAACACAGGATGCGCTCAACTTTCAAAAGTAATAAAAGAAATTAAAAAAATAGCTTTAATGATCATTTTCCTCGATTTCTGGTCGCTACGCTAAATTTTCGTCGCAATAATTCTCTAAATGAAAAGCAGTGGGCCTAAAAGTATACTGAAGCGAAAAGTAATAGCTGTAATGTGTAACTAATCGGCTAAGTCTGGCATGTAACTAAATGTTGCGTGTTGTTAGGCGTTCCTGCTATTCTTTTGGAGATTTTTGGCGATCAAAATCAGCTGTAGCAAATGCTGGGAATCTTGCTGCTGGTTTTCGATGGAGATGGTGCTTTTTAAACTTTTAGTAGCCCTCAAGAAAAGCGAAAAATTCATATATGTACATAAAATTACGCACAAGAAATTTCTTAAATCCTTTACCAAAATTTCTTAAATCAGTTTGCATTTCTCAAGAAAAATGCTCGTATATTTATTTCTTCAAGAAAATTTATAGCGAAAGGGAAGTTCTTTTTCAACAGAAATAATAAAAAATATTTCTTGTGATTTTTCTTGAGAGCTGGATTCTTAGCTTTAAGATACAGTTCGTATTTGAGGTTATTAGCTTTAGGGGGGGTTTGAACCCCAAAACCCACCCCTTGTGTGCGCTAATGCTCGGAATCCAGAGATTTTAGTGAGCCCAAAACTTTTCAGCTTGTCAAAGCTTTTCATCAGCAGTTTGGATGTTACCTGTTGTGATCTGAGGACTTAAAGGGCCACTTGACTGTCAGTCGAGTCTATTTTCTCATCGTCTCCCTACTATTTTTTAGTCAGACTAGTTCACCTTCCATCTAGGTTCTACCCTACGTCCGTGGGCTCGTGTCTGGGATCACGAAATCTGTATCTAGAGATGTCTAAGAAATTCTTTGCTACTGCGCACCAAACCTTCCAACGCACGACTGGAGGCTTATTTGGTTCGGTTGGAGAGAGCTGAGGAAACCTATTGACAAGAGGCCATACGCTATCGCTTTAAAAAGCCTTCGGTGACGTTGACTAAGTGTTATAGGATGCGGAGAGCATTGGTGAAATGTCCCGTCCTCAGCGTTTCACTTCTTTTTGGTGTTATAGTGTCTAAAATGGACTTCCCTCTACTACTAACTAAATATTTATTTGTGCATCTACTTCTTCTAATCAATGAGCATGTGAGTTGGGTATAAAAGTAAATACAACCTATGCGCTTTTTTACTCTACAACAAACAACAAACCTGCAATTGGGAACACCATGTACGTGGCGTTACAAATTTTCCTTCAATGATTCACAAATAAGCCAACACGTTCAGCGAAAAATATACTAAGTATATGTACACAAATGCCGGAGTCAAGGCTACAGTAAAGAGCGAGCGACCGTGCGAGCCCAACAGATCGCATCAGCATCATTCTCACTCGCCCTGTACCAGCACAACTGATAAGAAATCTTTAGTATAGTTGCATCACTTGCATATTAAATTGTTCAACCGCAACTGCAACTGCAACATAAATAACAAGTACACCAACAACATTACAACCAACCCAATGACAATGACAATGACAATGTGTAAAGGCGTTTATGATAACTAGGGGCGGCGGCAAAAGCCAAGCGAGAACCAAGCGAGGTGCAGAAGAAATCAGAAATGCAGTGACAAATCATGCGACACGTACGCATTACAAAAACAAATAGTACATAGCAAGTGAATAGCCTCTGCAACAGTTGCTGCTGTAGAAGGGTCAAAGAGGCGTACATTAAATATTATAATTGTTGCTGCTGTTGTTGTTGTTGTTATGCTCGCGTTTTCAAAAGGTAAGAATAAGCAGCTAAAAAAGAAAGACTGCTGCCTCCTCTATTTCAGCTAGTTGTCACTGCGACAGTCACTTTTGTGATGCTGATTGTTACGCGATAACATTTTTTTTTGCTGCTGCAATGCTTTATTGTTTTTTATTCTATTATTACCGAAAAAATTTTGTTTTGTATTTCATGGGCGTAACTACTAAATGTGTTTCACCTTTTCTTTTTTTTTCGCTACTTTACCTCTTGTCTGTCGGCAACGGGTGGGGATGTGAGAAAGTATGCTGCTCGGCGAAAGGATGCTGCTTAGGTTTTGTAGCGATTTTTCGCTGCTGATAAACTTTAATAACAATAGTTATGATGGTAATAAAATTTTCCTTCAAAGTCGTAAAATGTTTAGACAAGTCTATATTGCCGTAATGGAGCAGTGTGCAGCTGAGCAAACGCTTGGGAATTATTGTCGCTCGGACAGGATGCCGAAGCTGTTGGCAGTATTAGAATTTATTGGGTCGTAGGCGTAAAGACTTCTGTGTTTTTGATTTATCGCGTAAACTTAGACACAAAATTCGGTGAATACTTCGGAGCTAGCTCTCTAAATCGGCTGCTCGCGACTTCTGCAAAAGCGCAGGATCCCCCGCTTTCGAACACATAAATGGAAGATTTGCAGCGCTTCATTAGTGGAATCCATTTGCTCTTTCTAAAAAATGTGCTCAATATTCATATTTTTTAAATAACTGGCTCGCTTGACCACTCTATTTTATTTGTTAATCTTTTATTTTCGAGTAAATACTTACAAAGTCCATGTTGCTTGGGTTTATTCCCAGAACGTTTATAGTTAGCCTAGCTTTCTACTCTCCTTAGTTTTCCCGGCATAACATCGCCCACTGTTTAGGGAAATTTGCCACTTATGACTATTGTGAGGTCGTCAGGTAGGTCTACAGTCTCTTCTCTACCACACTGGGCTTATCGATGTCTGTTTTTTTTTTTTGGTTTTCGCCACCCCTTTTGCGAGACAGTCCGCCACCTCCCTACTCTCCATTAACTTGATGTTATTGTATCTCCCAACGATGATTTCACTTCATAGGATATACGGGCCTTGAGTGCCGCCTAGCTGTCACTTAGAATTATGATTCTCTCTTTTCTATACCATCTACTCATGATTGTCTCCGCTGTTTGAATAATGCTCGGCTATTTCTTCATAGCGACAGAGATCCTGATGCTGGGTTCGATGATTCCAGCCCCTATTCCTTCTGAGGTCTTCGAGACATCTGTGTATCAGTGCAGAGTGCAACTATGCTGTAGTGCCTCGAAGACTGAGACACTCCAGGTAGCTTTGCTGCAAAGCTCTATTTTGAATCTCTTTTCAAAATATATGGTTTTGCCTATGTCATCTCTAGGGAACAGGGCTAGCGGGAGCGAGGGCTCTAGCTTCTACACACTCCTAGAGGAAATTACCTCACCTTTTTTCGAAATCCCTCTCTCGAAATGTTGAGCAAAGTTCTTTTGGCTACCTGTTCTATGGTTATATGAAGAGGCTCAAGTGAGAGGACTACTTCCACCTCTATTGTCGGACATATGCGCATCGCTCCCATCATACATACGCATGCCAGCCGTTGTAGCTTGGTCAGCGTTTACCTCACCATGGCTAGGGTAGTTCGTGAAACCCAAGCTACCGCCCCATAGGTAATCATTTGTTGTATTATTAAGTTGTAAAGCTATCTTAGAATATGGAGGCTACATCTCCAGGATTTTCGCGCAAGACGCCTGCACACCATTAGAGCTGCAACCTGCTCACTTTGACCCTCTCCACCTGTGTCAGGAGTGTCAATTTGAAACTGGCCCGGCTTAGCCGTTGGCTTTGAACTGCTTACGATTTTATTCACCCCGTGACTGGTCGAGGGGCCCTGTGCTGCATGAGCCCCAGATTGTTTAGGTAACTGCTCTGCACAATTTTTAATAGTGGCGGTATTTTTCTTTACGTTATTGTCTTTGATTTTTCGCCGTTTTGTTTAATTTTTTGTCCCACGAGTGGCGAAAAAGCCGGATAAGACCATAAATTAAATAAATCCTGGAGCAACCGGTTTTCAAGAGGTCTAGGCTATTTAAGTGCCCCCGCCTGGCCGATATACAGCTCAGAAGCGAGCAACGCCTCGATCCTACTATACCTAACAGCCATGATCAAACATTATTTTCGTATGTCGGAGCTATTTACGACCTGAAATGATCCTTGATCTTAGCTGAGTACCGTTCCGACATCGCAAAGGCCCTTGCTGTGTTAATTTCCCAATACTAGTCGGATCTACCTCACAGCCACCAAAAAAAAATATCCATCTGTAAGTTTTTTTATGATTTGAACCTTTCTCGCCAGCGCTGCGTTAAATAAAATGCAGTTATCGGGACCACCATGCAACCAACGTCAAACAATGCTGGCGCACGTGTACATTACTATTGTAAAAAAGCAGTAATAGGGCAGTAATAACTGCAAAAGCAAACAAACTCTTTAAGAAATCTAGCAAAAGTATACATAAGTACATATGTATGTATGTATGTATGCATACACACTAAATAGTTTATAATTTATGCTAAATTTTTCCATGACAAATTATTGAAATTTACCACACACGCATAGGTACAACAATGCACAAAGCGACACACCACAATGCCAGCGTTGAGGCGGTACAAAACAATTTTCTGGCCGAACAAATGTGCCGTGCCACACAATGCATGCGTTGCACCAACGCAACAACGCAACAACGCACCAATAGAAGTAAACAAATGCAATATTTTGACATGAGATATGTATGTATGTATGTGATATTTATGGCAAAAGTATGCGGCTGGTAAATATATGCAAAACGGCGATTATTGTTTTAACACATTAACAACAAAGTGCAACAAATATTTTCCATATATACCTCATTCATCTACATACTCGGTATGTTGACACAGCAGACGCGCAGGCGCACTCGAAAGAGCGGGCGTACTTGTATGTACATACATACATGACGAACGCCAATGCGGCTGAAGCGACGACAGATGTTTGACCATTGCGTTTGACTTGGACAAACATGCAGATGCATCGAACTGAAAGATCAGAAACAAAGTGAAAAAAAAAGAAAACAGTGGACCTGACATTTGGGCGCGAGCTGATTAACAAATATTTGAAGCGCCTAAATGGCTGACAGCTTGACGAAGTGACCGATTGACGGACGGCCTGTTTGCCTGCCAGTGACTGCGCTGCGCTGCGACTGCTTGATTTGGACTGTTTGGACAGATAACGCTCTGCAGCCGGACGATATCAAAGGTAAGTCGAAAGTGGCGATTGGTACCAAATATGCCCGAGTACTATGTATGTATGTATGTATGTATGTACGTACGTAGAAAGGGAGTAAGTGCCAGTTGAGTGAATGCAATGTAACAGGAAGAAAATATTAGCCTTTGTCATTAGGCAAAAAAAAAACAAAAAAATAAAAATAAATAAATATCTACAAGTGGCCGGTTAAACACATTAGAGGACGTTGACAAGGCGAGCGAATATACTAAGTATATACATATGTATGTACGACATACTAATAAAACACTCAGTATTTTCAACAACATTGTACGGCCACATCGGCTGATCATCCGGTTCTGCGATTTGACCAGGGATGCGCCAACCGACATCAGCAATAGGTATGGCAGTATTTCAGGTTTGCTTAGCCTAGCTAGAGTTTATATTATGACTGCTTAAAACAAAAACAACAATAAATACGGTGATGACATTAGTACCAACAAGCGTGGAAAAGAGTTGAAATTAAATGCTTAACTGATGTAAACCAACATTGACAGCGTAAATACGAGTAAATTAACAATTAGAGGAGTGAGACAAGCTAAAAATTGTCAAAAACCGTTGTACATATGTATGTACATACATTAGACCGTACCATCTTACAAGCGCTAACAAAAATCAGCTCGTCGCACATCCCTGATTCCAAGGTAACGTATTTCTGCATGGTAATTTCAAAAAACAAAAACTTTTTTTGGCCGAACCTAGGGTTGCCCTTTTAAAGTTTTCGGTGATACCTACATTAGGCGATAAACAATTTTTTTAAAGTCCTCTACTGGATTAATCAAAACTAGTGAACCCACATGGCGTTAAAATGCTCAAATTTTAATTTCAAAAACCTAAAAAAATATTCAAAATATTTTAACTTCATCAAATTTCATATCTCTTTATACCGGTAAAAAATATTCTTCATTATAAAATATAACTTTATCGCACATCTATAGGTTAAGGTTATTTTTTTTTTTGTTTTAATTTACCCTTTTGCTCAAAAACAAACAGAACAACGCTAAGATTTCCTCGTTAGCAGATCTTCCAGTTAATCTTTGCCATTATTAAAAAATTGCTCACGAAAGACTGTGGTCAGTTGAAATGCAGTTCCAAGATTTTCCTTTTTCATTTACTGGCATTAGGGTGGTTTATTAGGGCGACAAGAAATTAGATATAGTGGGTAATTACTACATAGAACGGCGTACCTGAGGTTAATTAACTTTGGGACAAACATCGATATATCCTACCTAAGATCCGACTGTAAATGCCGAAACCATAATGAAAATGCCCCCAGGGATATTCCACATTTTTGGAATTACGGGTATGAGAGCCCCGAGGACCCTCGTCAAATCTTGCCATTTCTCGAGTGGAGTGGAGGCTCAGCTAGCAGTAGTTTCGGCTACGAGGTCTGACCAGAGACTTAATTCTGTTACCACGGGGAACCACGGGGGGGGAGTGTACTATATTTGCTCTCGGGGCTTGTTCTTGGAAACGGCTCCTTGGGGAGTTTTCCCTTGTATCGACTGGTTTTGTGTAGCACATCAGTGAGTGGCACGATTCATATGCTCAATTGAACCCAAACCACTGGTACATACCTATATACGTTGCAAAATATCTTTTGAACTTCTATTCCAGTCGCTTACACATTTAAATATCAGATACACCGACTGTATCTTATAAATGAAACGAAACTATATACATATACAACGAAGCATTTGTCCAACCCCTTCAACTTCGTTATATCGAGGTTTCACTACACATATTTTTTTTCAAACCCAAGACAATCGCTGGAGCATAATTTTTGCAGTTTATGAAACACAATCACTTACCTACAGGGCAACTCTGCGTACGCATATGATCTGTGCGTCCAGCAATGTCAATGCGCCGGCGGACAGGTCGTTAATGGGTACGTCATATGCGCAGCAACGCATAAGTGAGACCATTAATACTAAATATATTCATAAATACGTATTCGTATGTACATTAGGGTGGTCATTAAAAAAACAAATAAGCGATTTTTTTTCAGTCTAACCCCTTCAGTCGGTAATACCACGGACACAGATTTCACATAGAAATTTTGGTCCCATTTGGAGTCGGTTAAGGCGTGTCGCAATGTGGTTCAATTTCAGATGCTCCATGGAGACTCTAAAAATTAAAAACATTCTTTTTCATTTAATACCCAAACTCGGGGCCAAAATTTATATGTGATATTTTCGACTATAGTAGCATCGACGCAGGGGTTCGAGGCTTGGACAATCTGTTATACAAATTTGCTTCCTACATTTAAGGACCACCCTAATGTGCATATATTCATACGCACATAACTATGTATGTATGTAAGTATATATGTACATACTTACATGTGTACATATTTAGATACATGTAGCGGCTTTGGAACACTTTTTTCAACGCCGACCTCGACAAAAGATTCTCACCGCATTGCCCCATAGCTCCCAAGTTAACAGCAAGCGCAACGGAAGAGCGCCAAAAATTCAAGGCACTCGCACATAAGCGTGTATGCACATACATACATACATACATATGAACATATGCTCGCATAAATGACAACGAACTGGATGAGGTATTGCAAAAGTCAACAAACGCCTTTGAGATACACTAAGCCCAGTCCAAAGTTCCCATGTGTTTCTTTTTTTTGTCGTTTGGATCAGACCACTCAACGCAAAGCAAGTCAAAGGGGCGACGAAAAATGTTGTCGTTTACGAGGTGTATTATGTATGTATGTATGTACATGTTGCCATATACGGCCTTTTTTTGTTTTTCATGCTGCTTTTTTCTGGTACTGTTTCCTGGCGTTGGAAAACAGTTGGCAATGAAAAAGTAAAGCAAAACCAGCTGAGGGGTGCGTTGTGTCGAAGGAGCGTAGTCACAACAGGCGGCTGTGTCTGTGTTCGCGCCAACTTACGCGTCTGCGTCTACATACTTACATACATACATACGTCTTGGTCGCACTATAAATTTTCCCAGAAATTCGCAGCGATTTCTCGCAATTTCATGATAAATTCATCGAATTTCGTTGACGTTTTCAAGTTATTGACTCAGCAGCATGTTGCGTGCGTAAAGTATTCATATCTTATGCATACGCACATGTGTATGTGGGTGTATGCGTAGTTATGTATACTCAAGCAAAGGCATAAAGTGACGCGTAAAGTTTACGCTGAGTAGAAACATACATATGTACATGCTTTGGTCGTTATCTATGGGCGATACAAAAAATATTATGAGTTTATAGCTCCTAGCAACCAGCCTACACCAGTTTGCGAAATTTTTGCCCATCAAGCGATTACGCAGTTTTTCGAAAACAAAAGATCAATACGCATACATATATATGTATGTAGGTAAATAAAAAATTGCAAAATATTGTGTAATCATTACGCATAAATACACAATAACACTGGCACACAAACAAAAATAGTGGTGTGAGCTTTTAACCACAATAGCCGAACTTCGCTCTGGCTACTGCCGCAGGTTGAACTCTTACCTGAGCAGACTAGATGCAGATGTGCCCAATGAAAGGTCCGACATGCGGACAGACATCCCACGACTCGAAACATCTCTTCGCATGCCCTCAAAACCACACACAACTAACGACTCTGTGGACAGATCCTATAGAGGCTGCATGTTTCTTGGGTCTTCCACAGCTGCTACAACAACAACAACCGACATTTATTTCCACCCATCGAATCCGAGTCGGAGGCCCGTTTGACTCCCATGCCTCCTAAATTTTGAGTAAATTACTGCCCTCCAAGACATGCGTTGGACGGAGTAAAGCAAAAGTGTCTGGAGCCTTGCGACGTCTACTACAGCTGCCATCTAAAGGGCGAACGTCTCCCCACAATCCACATCGAAGGGAGGTTCTTCAATATCTCGTTCATCTGCACCCATTTCCCGACGGAAGACATCAAAATCCCGCTTGGCGATTTCATTGTCAGGATGGGAAAGGAAGAGATCTTTGCAACCACCGTCGCAAAATTCAGCTTCCACGACGAAACGTCCGATAACGGACTGAGGCTTATCGACTTCGACGGAGTCCTCAACATGATAGTATGCAGTACTAAGTAGGTTCAAGCATAAAAATATCCACCAAACTACTTAGCTTTAACGAGATCGAAAAGTGAGAAACCAAATCGATCGTGCTGTGATAGACGTAAAGAGTGCTTCCAGTGTTTTAGACGTACGTACACTCCGAGGTCCAAACATCGACTCGGACCACTTTATTGTTGCAGCCAAGATACGCATCAACTTCTGTGCAGAAAAAATGTGCGTCCGACAACGCAAACAAAGTTCAACGTCGAATAGCTGTAGCCAGAGCAGATAGACAGAGCATTTACCACTCGACTCTCACACCGAAATATTTTCCTACTAATCCCCTTCTAAATCCCTCTTGTCTGACGTCCATATTGTGATACATACTCCAATTATCAAAATCCTTTAATTCAAGAAGAATTTGATTTTTCAAATAGGTGGCAACCCTCCTACATGTAGTTTAGAACTAAAACCCTTATCAAAAACCTTTCGATTGATACCCATATTCTAGTAATTCATTTAAATTCAACTAATTTAATTTTTAAACGGGTGGCAATGCTTGTAAAATACCTCAGTAATATTTTGTATGTTCAATCTGAAGGTTTATTGGCAATCTTTCATTTGACACCCATATATTAATTTTTCAAAACTACATTTTTTTAAGCCTCTTGTCATCCATTCTTTAATATAATTTTCAAATAAATAATTTCCTTAATTCAAGTCGAATTTGATATTTTTATCAGGTGGCAGCACTTCTCCATGAGCATGGAATTGATTTTATATACATACATATATGTATCTATAGCAAGTTCTTGTACTCTTTCAAAAATATTTTCTGAGATATGATATGCGGTATGAAAATTCCGTTTTATGGAAGGTGCCACGCCCCTCGTATAATCGAGATTAAATCTATCCTATATTTTAAGTTCGGCTAAATAGCAGTAGTGTACAAAATTTAATGGGAATCGGTTGAGTAGTTAAAGCATTATAAATAAATAAACTCACTTTCGGATTTATAATATTAATAAAATAATAATAATAGTAAGGATTTTTATCGAAAAGCAGCTACACAACTGTTTAAAAATTAAGTTATTTTCTACAAACATTTTTCAAAGGTCTTTAAACATTGAATCTCATGAAATTATATTTCAGATTAGGTTAGAAGGAAGGCGTGTATGAGTGACTCGTACTTCCACTCGGAAGCAGACTTGCCAATTGTGAATGCCATCTATGAGTGCAAGGTTGAGACATATCCTTCTAACCGAAGTTATTAAATATTGTCAATACAGCGTATGTATGCCAAACCATTTATTATCCCGGATAAGGCTACGAAGATCCGGTATTTTCACTTCCGTTATCTCCTCCAAACTATTTGGAGAGCGTGACCCCAAATGTATGATACGCCTTGTCCGGAGAGCTGGTCATTGACACATAAAGCGTTGAATCGATTCCGCTTCTTCCACATTCCGACAACTTCTACAGAGTGAGCTTGTTGGTGCTCTAGCACCGTGTCCAGTGATGACGTCTCTTATTGATTTTATTGAGTCTCGGTCATAAGGAACTGGAGATCTGACAATTGTCATGATTGATCAATAGGTCACTAGTTGCGACTGTGGGTTATGCTTCAACCCCACTTAGTAGATCACAAATCGGTGGTAGTAGGAAGTTATCTGTTTCTCTAATTTGTATTCCCGAGACGTATCTAGCCATCTCGTAAGCTTGTTTTGCCCCTTCGGTACTTCTATGTCCAAAAACCCAGCAGAAAGAGTTTTTGACTTGGCTCAGTGAAGCCGGCGATGTACAACATTTCCGAACTACTTTCGACTTTACTACCTTGGAACTTGAATGTTTTGCAATGCCACCTGGCTATCAACGAATATAGTGCCGTTCCCTGACAGAGGCTTACTATTCGTTATA